GAAATACAGAATTCTCTTCTGTAATAACCTTCCGTCATCACACACCTGGAATAAAGCATTCTCTTCTGTAATAACCTTCCGCCATCACACACACCTGAAATAAAGCATTCTCTTCAGTAATAACCTTCCGTCATCACACACCTGAAATAAAGCATTCTCTTCTGTAATAACCTTCCGCCATCACACACCTGAAATAAAGCATTCTCTTATGTAATAACCTTCCGTCATCACACACCTGGAATAAAGCATTCTCTTCTGTAATAACCTTCCGCCATCACACACACCTGAAATAAAGCATTCTCTTCAGTAATAACCTTCCGTCATCACACACCTGAAATACAGCGTTCTCTTCTGTAATAACCTTCCGTCATCACACACCTGGAATAAAGCGTTCTCTTCTGTAATAACTTTCCGTCATCACACACCTGGAATACAGCATTCTCTTCTTCGATAAACTCCCGCCATCACACACCTAAAATACAGCAGTCTCTTCTTCGATAAACTCCCGCCATCACACACCTAAAATACAGCATTCTCTTCTTCGATAAACTCCCACCATCACACACCTGAAATACGGCATTCTCTTCTTCGATAAACTCCCGCCATCACACACCTAAAATACAGCATTCTCTTCTTCGATAAACTCCCGCCATCACTCACCTGAAATAAAGCGTTCTCTTCTGTAATAACCTTCCGTCATCAAACACCTGGAATAAAGCGTTCTCTTCTGTAATAACCTTCCGTCATCAAACACCTGGAATAAAGCGTTCTCTTCTGTAATAACCTTCCGTCATCGCACACCTGAAATAAAGCATTCTCTTCTGTAATAAACTTCCGCCATCACACACCTGAAATACAGAATTCTCTTCTGTAATAACCTTCCGTCATCACACACCTGGAATAAAGCATTCTCTTCTGTAATAACCTTCCGCCATCACACACACCTGAAATAAAGCATTCTCTTTGTAATAACCTTCCGTCATCACACACCTGAAATACAGAATTCTCTTCTGTAATAACCTTCCGCCATCACACACCTGAAATAAAGCATTCTCTTATGTAATAACCTTCCGTCATCACACACCTGGAATAAAGCATTCTCTTCTGTAATAACCTTCCGCCATCACACACCTGAAATAAAGCATTCTCTTATGTAATAACCTTCCGTCATCACACACCTGGAATAAAGCATTCTCTGCTGTAATAACCTTCCGTCATGACACACCTGAAATAAAGCATTCTCTTCTGTAATAACCTTCCGCCATCACACACCTGAAATAAAGCATTCTCTTATGTAATAACCTTCCGTCATCACACACCTGAAATACAGAATTCTCTTCTGTAATAACCTTCCGCCATCACACACACCTGAAATAAAGCGTTCTCTTCTGTAATAACCTTCCGTCATCAAACACCTGGAATAAAGCGTTCTCTTCTGTAATAACCTTCCGTCATCGCACACCTGAAATAAAGCATTCTCTTCTGTAATAACCTTCCGCCATCACACACACCTGAAATAAAGCATTATCTTCTGTAATAACCTTCCGTCATCACACACCTGGAATACAGCATTCTCTTCTTCGATAAACTCCCGCCATCACACACCTAAAATACAGCAGTCTCTTCTTCGATAAACTCCCGCCATCACACACCTAAAATACAGCATTCTCTTCTTCGATAAACTCCCGCCATCACGCACCTGAAATAAAGCGTTCTCTTCTGTAATAACCTTCCGTCATCGCACACCTGAAATAAAGCATTCTCTTCTGTAATAACCTTCCGCCATCACACACACCTGAAATAAAGCATTCTCTTCAGTAATAACCTTCCGTCATCACACACCTGAAATACAGCGTTCTCTTCTGTAATAACCTTCCGTCATCGCACACCTGAAATAAAGCATTCTCTTCTGTAATAACCTTCCGACATCACACACCTGAAATAAAGCATTCTCTTCTGTGATAACCTTCCGTCATCACACACCTGAAATAAAGCATTCTCTTCTGTAATAACCTTCCGACATCACACACCTGAAATAAAGCATTCTCTTCTGTGATAACCTTCCGTCATCACACACCTGAAATAAAGCATTCTCTTCTTCGTCAAACTCTCGCTATCACACAGATAAAGTACATCATTATTTCTTTCATCAAACTAGTTCATTCTACCACACGAATGAATGAATACAGCTTTGGTCCCTCTTCATCTAACTCGCTTATATCACAGTTAAGGGGTTAAGAATAAGGATTGCAAACTATACCCTTTAGCTTTTTATATAAGTATCTTATTACATTACTTAAAACGAAATGATTATTTTGAGGATAATTAAATTGTTTCCTGCTAGTCAAAGTGGTGACGCAAGCAATACATAGCTCTATTCTGTGCCAAATGTGCATACATACTTAAAACATATAAAAAGGGGTTGGAATCTATTTAAATATATTTACTTTTACGTAAAGGTATTTTCTTTCTTGACCAACCCACTTACGAGTCCCCTTTCCTCATTCCCAGTAGGTTATCATCAGATCAGATCATAGGTAACTGTAACGTTTGTCACGTTTCATTCCGGAGACAGATTAGTATTTTTGCTACATGGATGATATCTACTTTAAAGGATAACGCACAAAAATTATACAACCCATAGAGGTCTAGAACATATTGTACAGGGTTTCACAGTTTGCGGTTTCCAGAACTTCCTTATGTATCTAGGAATTATTATAGTTTGCCTTTATCTGTAACAAACAATGGTTAAATCACCTGTTCAGAATTACAGCATCATCCTACACCTGGAAAACCTCCGTGGGAATGAGTCAAACTTCTATTGTTAGCACTAGGTGGCATAGCTAGCTGTTAAAACATCGGTTGTTAACACTCGATGGTATAGCTAGCTGTTAAAACATCGGTTGTTTGGAAGGCTCATTCCCCGAACACCAACTCTGGAGAATTCAAAGGAAGGTGTTTATATAGGTAATCATTTGAAGTTTAGTTATAGAATGTTTCAACTAAGAATGTCAACTCATTTTGTAGATATGATACTAAAGTCAATAATAAAATGGATAACAAGTTTTTATTTCCTACATATAACTGTAATACACATTTAACACAGAACTAAGTAATAGAAAATAGTCATTAAATATTATATTTTACATTATATGAAAAAGAAAAATAACATAACATTATATGAAAAACAAAATTCCTTAATTTAAGCCACATTGATACTAATGTCAGCAATAAAATACAGTTTCTATTCCTACATATAACAGTAATACACATTTAATACAGCACTTAATATAAACTTTATTTCATTCCAAATTAAGTTGCATTACATCACATAACATACAAAGTACAGAGGAATGGGATCCGGAAACAAGTTGAAATAACTTATATAAATCCGTTTCCGAAAATTTATCTCATTACAGCACTTAAAGATAGCCATTATTAAATATAAACAGTAAACCTTTCTGGAGCTAAAGTAGATGAAGAATTTTTCATTAATCATGATGATTTTAGTTGGAATGGATTTTTGGATTTCAGTAGTTTTGCCAAAAAGTATAATATCTTCCTTTATTTCGAATGTTTGGTCAGTTTTTAAGTATATCAATCTACGTATGCCTTGCCAGAAGTTATTTGTTATTTGACACTGTTAAAAATGATGTTCTATAGTTTGTTTGCTTTCTTGGCATAAATTACATCAATCAAATTGTTTGATTCCAATTATTTTCAAATAATGATTAAGTGGAAGTATTCTTGAAAGAAGCCTGAAAGTGACCCACTGAATGCTAGTTTTGAGTCCATATATGAAGTTTTCTAAAACAATCATTTTGAGTCCACCCTCACTATAGTCTTGAACAATTGTTGAGCGTTTTATTCTATCAATTGGTGATTGCCAGACAAAATTATATTTATTTTTTTGTTCAATGATTGAATTATGTCTTTACTTGGAGTAGGGAGAGATATAAACAGGTGATTAATTTTTGCATTGATAAGAGATTTAAGAACAGTTATTCTCCTTAGAGGTATTAAAATTCTTCTTGACTATTGATGTAACTTGCCATCTATAATACTAATAATTTTGTTGAAATTTACAATAACCATGTCTTCTAAATTGACAGAGAAATCAATCCCAAGTAAGATAAATTTGGTTGTTCCTCATTTTAGTTTTTTCAGTATTTACTTTTAACCCTGATATTTTAGCATATTTATATCATATAAAGATTTTGTTCCATGTTAAATAACGGATGTGTCATCAGCGAACTGTGAGAGCCTGTGTTCTTTGTTATTTATGTTTATGCCCTAAAGTTTTTATTGTTTTTTACCATGATAGCTAATATTTCAGCTACCAAAAGAAATAAGTAAGATGATACCGGATCCCCTTGTCTACAGACCCTTTTTATGTCTACAAAGTTGGGTTAAAAACATTCTGTATGATAGTCGAGGAAGTATTTGTATTAAAACATAACAGATAATAATATCAAACTGAAGTCACACAAGTTAAACACAATTCATAGAAATCTGAAAATAAATTCAAGTTTAACTAATATATCATAATAAATATATGACTAATTCTGAAATCTGTTCTAAATATTAATTATTATTTTGCAATTATTAACAGTTATTGATTATCTGATTACTTATCAGAAGTTGATTTACCTGTGCAATTTACCTGTATACCATTTCTGCGATAGACTATAACTCACTACATGTAAAGGTTATTACATGGTTTTCGAGTAACAAGGGATTTATTACACCCGAGCGAAGCGAGGGTGTAATAAGTCCCGAGTGACGAGAAATCATGCAATAACTGGCTTACTGCATGCTTCCCAACTCGAACAAAACAGAAAAGTTGAGTAAAAAATTGTTCACCTGGACAATCTTTTTATCTACCCTACACTGCAGATAATTTTCATGTACCTATGTGAGTGAGTACTAATCATAACCAGGTAAGATTCTCAATAGCCCAGTCTGAGTGTATCCTTCATAATGGATACAAGTGTTTTTGGATTACTATCCAGGTCCAGTGTCAGGGAAGGTAAGGAGTGTCTGTTCAAAATACGGGAAACAATGTTGAATTTCTGACTACATTTTCAGTTTAATTTTCAAGATGTGGCAAAGGTACAGGATATTGAAACCATTTTCATATATACAATGTAAGGGTTTATCAATCCCTAAGGAATTCCAGTTCTTTCAATGAATGGTATATTTGAATGTGCAATTTTGTATAAAGGAACAGCTCCTTAAGATTATAAACTTTTCCGGGAAATGCTTATCCTCTCACGTGATAAGGAAATCTGTTTGTGTTTTTCAATCATGAAATTACCATTTTTAACTTTCATTTTTTCCCCTTATTTGAAATGTGTCAACTAAGTTTATCCTCTACTGTATTGACTTCATCGTTACTCACTGATTGATTATCTCCCCTTTCTTACAGCATTTGTGGCCACAGTCCACTGGGCACACCCCCTTTCATGGTCATGTAATCATGATTGGCCTTGAAAGGGGTTATGTGTGCAGTGGACTGTGGTAGCAAGTGATTTATTGCCCACACTTTTCCATTGTGAGAGGTGGGAAGTATGCAGTAAGTGATTTTAACTTCGGCAGAGTTGGTGTTCGGGGAAGACCCCGTTTGGGCCACTCTACCGGCATAATTACAATGATGATTTAAATATAATAAGGATTATGTGTCGAAGTCTATAAAAATGGGGAAACAGATGGTCATTTAAAGCTAAATACCCCTTCAGCCACAAATGTAAAGTTTTGTTAATTCACAGACAGACATTCTTTATATATAATATATTGTATTGATTAATGTATCTGCTAATTGTATTGATTGTATAAATTGTATCTCTATGTACTGTAAAGCGCTTTAGAGTGGCTTGTTCTAGATAGATAGGGCGCTTTATCAAATGTTGTAAGTTATTATTATTGTTATTATTATCTCTAGTAACTGAGTTTTATACAGGAAGAATATGTTAGTGAGGTATTTGATAAAGAAGTTGTGCCAAAAAACATTATATCTAATGAACTTTTTTAGTCTAAAAGACTGTTACTATACAATAGAAATACAGGAAAAAGAATAATAGAATCTCTCACCTCCTTTGGGGTGAATAGGGGATCTCAATCCGAAGGGAAAGATTCTTATGTTGCCAAACACGAGGCCTTGCCGAGCAAAGCAAAACAAAGCCTCGGGTCTCCTGCTCAATATTTTGTCCCTCGGGTTTGAACTACCTTATCCGTACCTCACGTCAGGGATGGATTCTATTAGTCTCATACCGGTAACAGTGCGGATACGCCTGTCTAGGGTAGGAGAAAACGTATAATTTTCTATATTTATGTCGTGTAATGTTCGCACGGCATCAAAAGTGTCGTTAATCCAACTGCAATTTTACAGTGAAGGAGTGGTAGAAACACGTCAATGTTTACCATCGTTTTCAAGGCGGACTGTTTATATTTATGTCCTGCGCTTCTGAATGATGCTCCAATATGGCACCGGCCATACTCTCACATTTGTTCCCAGAGACCTTGCTATAGCAGACAAAGAAATATGATTGATAAGCTCAAAATAAAGATTTATACATTTTAAATAGATTTTATAAAAGCTGGATTGTGTTCAGCTTGAAACGCTTAATTCCAACTATTTCATAAAAATCGAAGCACCTAAATCGCATATCATTTGTTGTTACGGCTTAAGGTAATAGCTTTGTATCACCATTTCTCAGTAGAATGTCTTCAAGTTTTGTAATTATATTGCTTTGAAGTAAAAAAAAATTGTGCCTCAAAAAATATATAGGTTGTCAGAATTTTAAGGATTTTAAATGGAAATTTATGTAAAAAAGAGTGAATTTTGGAGAAAGAAATGAAAGACAATTTTTTTCAAAATAATGTCAATTAAATGATACTGCCATAGATTAGTATTGCATTAATGTATATCAATTTAATCAATGCTGAAATTGTGTAAAAACAAATTATCTATAAACGATTAAAAATTGACATTTTACTTTAAGATTGAGAGAACGCACTGTTCTGTCAATAATAAACAAATATTCATCACAACTCTAGACTGATTAGAATATGCGGAAATTGTGATACTGTCTCCCTACATTGGATTTTCAACTAGGGATGTACTTCCTATTTCCGTTTATCAATACACTCATTCGACCTTAACTACTGACCCAGCTTGATCTCTCACCAAGGCTGGTACACATGAGAGGGGAAATAACTCGCTCTAGTGTTTTCAATAACAGGTGTTTCTTGAATGGACCCCGATATGAAGTTCGGTCAGGAGGTTCCCTGGCCTTTACATAATTTCATAGCAAGTTTTACATTGTAGATTGTGTGTTGTTGTTGAAATCAATTAAATGTGTATATTGAAATTGAAATATAACACCCAACAAAACATTTATTTTTAATAAAAAAACAAACAACAGTTCGGCAATTTACATAACCGAATAAAAAAAAAGTTTTCGGATTAGTATAAATTTCTTACGCTGATAACATTTTCAAGGTTGGAATAAACAGGTTAAACTGATGTCAATTTAAGAAAAAAAGAAAAAAGAAAAAAAAATCTTATATATTTCTGTCAGGATTCCACTTCATTCAAAGCACGAATGGAACAAACAAAGATCACCACTCACTGTTTAGGTTTCGCAAACAAGAGAGCGATTAAAACTATGCTGTCTCCCGGGTATCGTTCTACATGTTAACCTCGACGTTGCTCTTACCGATGTCTGGGGTCTGAATGTCCTATATACCCCGCGTTATCTCGTCACTGAGAACTCGACTGCCACCCTCGCCCTGAATAACGTGACGTAAGTATGTAACAGAAACCAGCTTACCCTCGACCTGAATAACATCACGAAAGTATGTAACAGAAACCAGATTACACTCGACCTGAATAACGTGACGTAAGTATGTCCCAGAACCCAGCTTACCCTCATCCTGAATAACATCACGAAAGTATGTAACAGAAACCAGCTTACCCTCATCCTGAATAACATCACGTAAGTATGTAACAGAAATCAGCTTAACCTCGACCTGAATAATATAACGTAAGTATGTAACAGAAATCATCTTACCCTCATCCTGAATAACATCACGTAAATATGTAACAGAAACCAGCTTACCCTCATCCTGAATAATATAACGTAAGTATGTAACAGAAACCAGCTTACCCTCGACCTGAATAACATCACGTAAGTATGTAACAGAAATCAGCTTAACCTCGACCTGAATAACATCACGTAAGTATTAACAGAAACCAGCTTACCCTCGACCTGAATAACATCACGTAAGTATTAACAGAAACCAGCTTACCCTCGACCTGAATAACATAACGTAAATATGTAACAGAAACCAGCTTACCTCGCCCTGAATAACATCACGTAAGTATGTGACAGAAACCAGCTTACCCTCAAACCCTGAATAACGTCACGTAAGTATGGAACAGAAACCAGCTTACCCTCGAACTGAATAACGTGACGTAAGTATGTAACAGAAACCAGCTTACCCTCGATCTGAATAACATAACGTAAATATGTAACAGAAACCAGCTTACCTCCCCCTGAATAACGTCACGTAAGTATGTAACAGAAACCAGCTTACCCTCGATCTGAATAACATAACGTAAATATGTAACAGAAACCAGCTTACCTCGCCCTGAATAACGTCACGTACGTATGTAACAGAAACCAGCTTACCCTCGAACTGAATAACGTGACGTAAGTATGTAACAGAAACCAGCTTACCCTCATCCTGAATAACATCACGTAAATATGTAACAGAAACCAGCTTACCCACGCCCTGAATAACATAACGTAAATATGTAACGGAAATCAGCTTGACCTCGACCTGAATAACATCACGTAAGTATGTAACAGAAACCAGCTTACCCTCGATCTGAATAACATAACGTAAATATGTAACAGAAACCAGCTTCCCTCGCCCTGAATAACGTCACGTAAGTATGTAACAGAAACCAGCTTACCTCGCCCTGAATAACATCACGTAAGTATGTAACAGAAACCAGCTTACCCTCAAACCCTGAATAACGTCACGTAAGTATGTAACAGAAACCAGCTTACCCTCGACCTGAATAACATAACGTAAATATGTAACAGAAACCAGCTTACACTCGACCTGAATAACATAACGTAGGTATGTAACAGAAATCAGCTTACCCTCGAACTGAATAACGTCACGTAAGTATGGAACAGAAACCAGCTTACCCTCGAACTGAATAACGTCACGTAAGTATGGAACAGAAACCAGCTTACCCTCGAACTGAATAACGTCACGTAAGTATGTAACAGAAAACAGCTTACCCTCGACCTGAATAACATACCGTAAATATGTAACAGAAACCAGCTTACCCTCGACCTGAATAACATAACGTAAGTATGTAACAGAAATCAGCTTACCTCGCCCTGAATAACATAACGTAAATATGTAACAGAAACCAGCTTACCCTCATCCACAAAAACACAAGGTAAGTATGTAACACAGACTGGCTTACACTCACCCACAAAAACACAAGAGAAGGTATATGACAGCGACCTTACGTATATTTTTTTACCAAAGTTTTGCTTTGACAGGATTTTCTCTCTGATGCGTTTCTGTAAATTTGCTATCATTTTCGTGCGATCGTGAAGTTGTATCAGAAAATTATACCGTCAACAGTCAAGAGCGTGATGGTGGTATTTATACTCTCCATATGTCTATTGTTAGTTCACGACAAGTGGTTCCTGTGTTAGTTACGAGGATGTCGGTATCACTGGTTAAACCCCCATTGAATGCTGCCGTGTTTGGGGAGGGCCCCCATTGGGAGGTGGCCACACAGTCCCTTCTCTACGTGGACATGACAGACAAGGCGATACACCGATGGAATGCTGTCACGGGCATTGATGAGGTGGTTAAGCTTGACATAGGTAAGAAAAGAACCGTAAAGCATGTCCCTTTGATCCATATCGGGAGATAAAGTTATGTGTGTCTAACAGGAGTATAATAACATGTGGCCAGGTAGGTATCTTTTTCAAGTAGTCTATATTCAATTGTTTCTAACAGTTTCTCCATTCTTTTGATTTCACGAGTCTAATATCACACACGTTAATATTTTCTCGTCTGAGTCTTTCAGGACGTACATAGTAACAGTGTGCTGTCGTCAAATGCGGCGTGACTTTTTGTTTAAGAGCAAAGTAAATATTTACAAAGTCGTCTCTTTGTGGGTCCGTGAGGTCAAATCACCGCGACAAAGAGAGCTTCTAAATAAAACATTAACCCTTGCCCTAATGATAGCTCGCATGGGAGCCTTAATTGAGGAGGAAACCGGAGTACCCAGAGAAAACCCACGTTGGTGGTCGGGCAGGTGATCCCATACCTTTTCACGTCCGATCAAGGAATCGAACCCTGAGCGTCGTGGTGAAAGACAAGTGCTCCATCGAATGCGCCTCACCCAACATGAGCTTCGATTTCACGGTAGAGATTAAGTTTAAAGAAGAAATTATACATGGTGATGAGGAGCTGTTTTATTGTACGCAATGGGATCGGGACAAATTTGAGTTAGTTAAAACAATGATCAATTATAATGCCGATAATCTAATGCATACCTGTAGAAATATGGATATGTTTTTGGATAGTGTAAATCAAAGTGTCGAATATTTTTCTGAATTACTTTGAACCATTGTTGAACCATATTGCGTTCAGATTCCATCTCGTTATACATCTCGAAATTATAATAAGGGAGATAAATCTTGGTTTTCATAAACATGTAAAGTAAAATTCAAAAAAATACAAAGCTTCTCTCTCATTCTTTAATAAGAATAAAACACATGACAATCATACAAGTTTGATCTATCAGAAAAAGGTATACATGGACAAGAGGCTAGAACTAAAACTGAAAAGTGAATACAATACCCAGAATGATGAGTTACTTGAAAAAATATAACCCTAAAACATTTTATAAAAGTTTTAAAAGAAAGACAAAAGCGACAAAATGTGATTTAAAAGACGTGTACTGTTCCTAATCGTCATGAGGAAGTTATGCATATATGATTCTGGTAATGATATGAACCCTTGTTCTGAATTAAATGTAGAGTTCACTGAGAGAGAGGTTTTACATGCAATATCTAATTCAAAACAAAATAAGGCTTGGGGTCTTGATGGTTTGTTAAATGAAGTGTTTCTTACATGTACAGATACATTGGCTAAAATTGCTTTTTAATGGAATATCTAGTTCTTGAATTTTCCCAGATTATTGGAATATTGGAATAATTATACCACTATTTAAGAAAGGAGATGTGAATGTAACTGATAATTACATTAGTAAGTTGTCTAGGAAAAGTTTTCACTGACATTTTAAAGATTAGTTAATGTTGATAAAATACATAATATTGTCACAGATGTTCAGTTTGGATTTAGAAAAAAAGACATTCCACGATAGATACTATTTTCATACTACAATCATTAATTAATATAACTCTCAGAAAACGAAACAGACTTTACTGCTGTTTTATAACGTCGTCCGGCGTTAATATTTTACTTATAACAACTTCTTGTTAATAACCAAAATACTAAGGGTGATGATATTTGGCCAGAGCAAAGTTGGATGAAGGGCTACACAGTTTGCTCAAATAAATGACCATCATCCATATTCAAGGTCACAGGGGTCAAATATGTTAACAACTTTTAAAAAAATCTGCTGAATAACCAAACTGTCTAGTGTGATGATATTTGGCCAGTAGTATTGCTGGGATGAAGGGCTACAAAATTGTTCAAACGAATGACCTTCAGGAGTCAATTGTCTTCAAAACCATTTAAACAACTTCTGAATAACCAAAAGGCCCAGGGTGGTGATATTTGGCTACTAGCATGCGAGGGTAAAGGGCTACCATTTTTGTTTTCAAGGTCACAGGGATCAAATATGTTCAAACTATTTTAACGACTTCTTCTGAATAACCAAAAATCCCAGGGCTACGATATCTCATATTTTACTCATTATTAGAAATTCGAACTATTAACTTATTTTTACTTATGTATATAGATGATATGGTTATACTATCGGAAACACCAGAAGACTTGCAGAAAATGTTAGATTCACTATCAGATTATTGTAGAAAATGGAGCTTAACTTTGAATGTAGATAAAACAAAAATAGTTATCTTTAGAAATGGTGATTTGATTTAAATTAATAACAGCAAAGGACAAATGGTTTAATAATAATAATGCGATTGAAGTTGTTGATGAATTTAATTATCTTGGTATCACTTTAAACTATAATGTAAAATTTACAAAAACCGAAAAAAAACTTGCAGGACAAGTTAGAAAGGCACTATTTGCCATAAATAATGTATGTAAAATGATTTATTTTAATGTAGAATCTCGTCTTGCTGTTTAGGATACGTTTGTCAATAGTATTTTAATATACGGTTCAGAAATTTGGCGATTTCTTAAAGAACCTGAAAAAGAAAAAAATGCAAATTGAATTCTTGAAATCATTACTAGGATTAAGAAAATCTACAAACTCTGCCTTTCTTTACATTGAATTTGGAAGATATCCTTTTGAGCTGTTAAGAAAAGTTTAAACGTTTAAGTATTATATTTAATTACCACGTTCTGATAACTGTGTGCTGAAAGCTTGTTATGATGATAGATACATGGTAGATACATGGTAGATACCGTGATGTTGCAATATTATTTAACAAAGTTTATACCAAAACAACGTCGAATTATGATTACCAAATTACGTATGTCAGCTCACAATCTTGCAATAGAAACGGGAAGATACAGGAATGTTGCAAGGAATAATAGATATTGCAGTAACTGTGACCTAATAGAGAAGATGAATTTCATTTTTTATCTACCTGCCCACGTCATCTAGATCTAAGGAGAAAATATATTAAAAAATATTACTGTCAAAAACCATCCGTATTCAAACTTATCGAATTAGTAAATACACACAATGTAAAAGAACTGAATTTGTTAGGTAAATTTATTATTGAAGCTAACAAACGAAGGATTGTTTAACTTATAAGTTTGTTTTACCTAATTTTGTATTACTGAATCGTATCATGTCCATGTTTTGATCGTACAATCTTTCATATAGATGTTTTCGATGATGTTGATATTTTGATGATGATGATGATGATGATGATGATGATGATGATGATGATGATGATGATGAAAGTGGTAATGATTTTAATAATATCGTTGATTTGTGAAAAATATACCAGTTTTATGAAATTCATGTTAAAATGGTAATTATTTCATGTTGTTGTACTTTGACGGATGATGATGTAGTATTTGATGTTGATTTAAATAGATGATTATTTCATGATGATGAGTTATAAGACGACGGCCACGACGACGATGATGATGATGATGATGATGCTAATGATGAAAGCGATGAATTATGATTTCGATGATGTTGTTGTTGCTGCTGATTTGTGATGAATGTGCCAGTAATATGTAATTATATGTTGTACTTATATGAAATTATTTGTTGAAAAAATCCTATAAGTTGTAAAACTTACGGAAATAAATTGAAATTGATATGGTTGAAAATAAAGACCCGTGGATCCTTAACTTAAAACATGATCTTTCAAGAGTCGGCCTTGGAATCAGCGATTACGTGATAGTTTTCAGCAAGATTGTCTAGAGTAAGTTGATTAGCCTTCTAAAGGAGTATTATATCAACGTTTAGTGGAAGGTATTAAATTTCAACCATATCTTCAGAATGCAATTGATCTAAATTATCTAAAACATATTTCTATAATACATTCATGTGTGCATGACCTGTTCATTGAACGTGTCCGTTTCATAGATATACCTAGAGAAGAAAGAAAATGTAGTTTATGTAATGAAAATTATATAGAAGATGAATAGCATTTTATAATTCGTTCAATTACTCGAAGTCGAAAATACAAAAGAACTTAATGATTTAAGAAAGTATTTATCACTAGCGTTTAAACGTAGAGCAGATTTATTAAGAGATCATCATTAGAACAGGTCATATTTAGACACATGTTGTATATATGTTTATTGAATACCAATTATATATGATATACCATTACATTGATATAAGTATGGGTGAATCAGGGTGAAAAGGGTTCTGGCGAGTGTATGAGGAGGAGAAGGAGGAGGAGGAGGATGTGTGTGTGTGTCAGTGTGAGTGTGTCCTTATGAGTGTGTTTGCCAAACTTCAGCAAACTGAGCTGTGGCATTTTCCTTTACAGATGGTCGCCCAAGTTTAGTTATTCCAAGTCAGAGCGGCGGATACGTGGTCACTCATGGAACAACAGTCAGTCATCTCGAATGGTCAAGCGGTACTTTAACAACCCTGGGAACCCTCGATGGTGTGGAGAGTGAAATCAAAGTGACTTTTAATGACGGCAAATGTGACAGCAGGGGGCGCCTTTGGGCAGGTATGTGCGCGTGTTACATGCCTTGTTGCATGTTGATAAAAATGTTTTATCGAAAAGTGGTTGATTGAGGACTATTTCGTTATAACGATATACTTAGTCATTATAACGAAATTCTAAGTCTTTATAAAGAGATACAAGCTCGTGATACCGAGACCCTCCACCCCGGTTACCACATAAGCCGATAACCTACGTATGAGGCAATGCTTCACTCTTATATTGGCGCTATGTCGATTTAACTGAAGAAGCGACGGGAAACAAGTCGATTAATTTCAAGCAACTATGATTCCCTTTTCTGTGTCTTTTACAATGCAAAAAAAAAAGTCTGTTTCGTCCGATCACACCTTCTGTCAGTAGTCTGGGAACGGCTGAATTACATCTTCAGAACTTTGCTCAGACTGTGGTTATAGACGTCATAACATATTAGTTTCGCCAAGCAAAGCTCTGAAACGGATATGACTTATTCTATATCCTGTGTACTTTGGTTTCTTAGCCTGAATACACTTGACAAGGTATCAAGCAATTTTGACAGATCACTTTCATTTATAAATGATAATCATAAAACTTTACCCTGTTCTATAGACATCAAATAACACATTATTTTATGACGTAACATCGATTGGAGAGATATTTTAGAAATTTTATCAAAAGACAAACAAAAATATCAGAATGCATTATATTGCATTGTAGATTCAAAATGTCACCTTTCTAATAATCACAGGTTTCATACAATGACTATTATGTCCTTTAATACAGCTTATTACTCATCTTAACAGATTATTTTTTAGAAAATACAATTTGCACAGAAACGATGTGATATATCTCTGTTAATAAAAACCATAAATGAAATATGTTTAATTGTATGATTAAAATATTCGCACATTTATTTCTAACAACGTAGACTACAAGGTTATTGTCCTACCCTGATGTTTTAGGTACCTTTCCCGCCGATGTCAAAGATATCATGAATATCACTCCAAACCAAGGCTACTTGGTCAGTGTGGCTAGAGGCAGTGTCCAAAAACAGGCTGATAAAATAACCTTATCCAATGGCATGGCCTGGAGTGCGGACGAACGGACTCTGTATTTCATCGACTCCATCCCTAGGGAGATATTGGCCTTTGATTTTGATGTCAACACTGGAAAATTATGTACGTGATGAAGTTAGTGAAGTTTAATGTAGGAGTTGTCCCCCTTACCCCAATAACTTTACGGTAGCCTTCTTTAGTGTGTCAAAATTGTTTTTATAAAAAGCTTGTGCAAAATTGCATACGAAGTTAATGCCATGTTTCTTATCAAAGATAATGAAACAATTATTTAAATTCGTATCTAAACTTGATATACCAAAATTAATGTTGTGAATGTTGACATTCATATCGTATAATTCTCACCCATCAAGCATAAGTTCATGTTAAAAACCATAAGTAAAGTCGCTAGATTGTATGTTACAGCCAATCGGCGTGTGGCTGTGGCGTTCCCCCCGGACAGTAGAGAGACGCTAGGCATGCCTGATGGTATGACAATCGACACGGACGGTAAACTATGGGTGGCGTGTGTGATGGTAGGGAAGGTGGCTTGCTTCGACCCTGAGACAGGTGAGTCAATATATTGCATTACTATATACCTAACTCACAGTCAGGTGAGTCAATATATTGTATTATTATACACCTAACTCACAGTCAGGTACTTAAAGTAAGTCAATATAGTGTATTGCTATACAACTAAAACATAGACAGGTGAGTTAATATAATTATTTCTTTCCACCTAACTCACAGACAGGTGAGTCAATAAAGTGTATTATAAGAAGTTCTTTTACATAATCAATAAAATGTTCCATGTGACGTTTCGATGACTAGTACGATATGTACACTGTCACCTTCATCACACAACTTACCAGTGACATGCCATACACAAAGGTGAAAAGTGTACGTGTTGTCTACAAAATCGAGGTCGATTTCGGCTACGCTGTAAGCGTATGTACAATAGTTGTTATATATGAACCGAAATGACTCGATTCAGCTACGCTTTGTTTAAAACTTGGTCATAGATGTGCGAGAGTCTTTGAGCCCCCTCGTCTCGATTTAGAACTGGCCCACGTATCCAGATGGCTTCCTTTATCTGCTGCTTGAACAGATTGCTCTCTCTGTCCAAAACTTTGGAGTTGTCCCAGTCAATCACATGATTTTTTTTTGTGTGACATGGTCTGTGATTGCCGATTTTTTTATTTTGGACTCCGACTGTTTCCTTTCTGATCTGGTGAATCTTTCCCAAATCGCCTTCCAGTCTCTCCAATATACGACGCGTCGCAGTTTTTGCATCCGTGTTTTATCCTTAGTGTGTACTAGGAAAGCGTATTGTGGGGCTTCATGACTGGTGCTATGCCATGACCGCGATATATCCTCTGGATGGTTTCGGATATACCCTTTATATACGGGATGACCACTTGACCTTTGGTTTTGTTCTTATCCTTGATTGGCCTTTTCTTGTTCCTCCCCTTACTTTGACACTGTTTTTGTACCCGTTTTAGTGCCCATTCCGGATATGCACATATTCGCATTGCCCTAGCGATGTGATTCTGCTCTTGTGTTTTGTCCTGTTGTTCTGTGACTATTGTATCACATCTGTTGAGCAATGTACGTACGACGCCTAACTTCTGGTGCAAACGATGGTGAGATTTGAATTTCAGGTATTGGTCCGTATGGGTCTTTTTTCTGTAGACCAATACCTTTTAATTTTGATGTTGTTAGTGGCATCTATGGTGTTGATATGTGTGGTCAAACATTTGATTTTTTGTGTAAAAAGAACTACTTATAATCCAAATATACCAACCTGAAGAAAATGTTTAGAAATATAGTGTATTGCTATACAACTAACTTACTAACAGGTGAGTCAATTTATTGTGTTTTACTACATATCTAACTCACAGACAGGTAAGTCAATATAGTGTATTACTTTACACGTAACTCACAGACAGGTAAGTCAATATAGTGTATTAATTTACACGTAACTCACAGACAGGTAAGTCAATATAGTGTATTAATTTACACGTAACTCACAGACAGGTAAGTCAATATAGTGTATTACTATACACGTAACTCACAGACAGGTAAGTCAATTTAGTGTATTACTTTACACGTAACTCACAGACAGGTAAGTCAATATAGTGTATTACTTTACACGTAACTCACAGCCAGGTAAGTCAATATAGTGTATTACTTTACTCGTAACTCACAGACAGGTGAGTCAATATAGTGTGTTACTTTACACGTAACTCACAGACAGGTAAGTCGATATAGTGTATTACTTTACACGTAACTCACGGACAGGTAAGTCAATATAGTGTATTACTTTACAGGTAACTCACAGACAGGTGAGTCAATATAGTGTATTACTTTACATGTAACTCACAGACAGGTAAGTCAATATAGTGTATTACTTTACACCTGATCAACAGACAAGTGAACAACAAAACGTAGGTTGAACTATAAACAAGTCCACCTTGTGTTTTTAAAGTTAAGATGCGTAACATAGCAACCTACATCGAATCTATATCTACTGAAAGTATAATAGCTATAAATAATAAATTACACGTTTTTAAGTATACGATAACAGCTATATGCTATGCACTTTTAGCCAATCCGTCGTAACGTACCCCCTCCTTTCCAATGTAGCCTCTCCATCGTAACGGTACCTTCTCCTTTCCACTGTAGCCTCTCCGTCGTAACGGTACCTTCTCCTTTCCACTGTAGCCTATCAATCGTAACAGTACCCCCTCCTTTCCACTGTCGCCTATATGTCGTTACAGTACCCCCTCCTTTCCACTGTAGCCTATCTGTCGTAACAGTACCCCCACCTTTCCACTGTAGCCTATCCGTCGTAACATACCCCCTCCTTTCCATTGTAGCCTATCCGTTGTAACAGTACCCCCACCTTTCCATTGTAGCCTATCCGTCGTAACAGTACCCCCACCTTTCCACTGTAGCCTATCCGTCGTAACATACCCCCACCTTTCCACTGTAGCCTATCCGTCGTAACAGTACCCCCTCCTATCTACTGTAGCCTATCTGTCGTAACAGTACCCCCTCCTTTCCATTGTAGCCCATCCGTCGTAACGTACCCCCTCGTTTCAACTATAGCCTATCAATCGTAACGGTACCTCCTCCTTTCCACTGTAGCCTATCAATCGTAACGTACTCCCTCGTTTCCGCTATAGCCTATCAATCGTAACGTAGCCCCTCGTTTCCACTGTAGCCTATCTGTTGTAACGTACCCCCTCCTTTCCACTGTAGCCTATCCGTCGTAACGGTACCTTCTCCTTTCCACTGTAGCCTATCCTTCGTAACGGTATCTTCTCCTTTCCACTGTAGCCTATCCTTCGTAACGGAACCTTCTCCTTTCCACTTTAGCCTGTCCTTCGTAACGGTACCTTCTCTTTTTCACTTAAGCCTACCCTTCGTTACCGCAACTCCTCTTTTCCACTGTAGCCTATCCGTCGTAACGTTACCTCCTCCTTCCCACTGTAGCCTATCCGTCGTAACGGTACCTCCTCCTTTCCACTGTAGCCTATCCTTCGTAACGGTACCTTTTCCTTTCCACTTTAGCCTATCCTTCGTAACGGTACCTTCTCCTTTCCACTGCAGCCTATCCTTCGTAACGGTACCCCCTCCTTTCCACTGTAGCCTATCCGTCGTAACGGTACCTTCTCCTTTCCACTGTAGCCTATCCTTCGTAACGGTACCTTTTCCTTTCCACTGCAGCCTATCCTTCGTAACGGTCCCCCCTCCTTTCCACTGTAGCCTATCCGTCGTAACCGCAACATCTCCTTTCCACTGTAGTCTATCCGACGTAACGGTACCTCCTCCTTTCCACTGTAGCCTACCCTTCGTAACGGTACCTTTTCCTTTCCACTGTAGCCTATCCTTCGTAACGGTACCTCCTCCTTTCCACTGTAGCCTATCCGTCGTAACGTTACCTCCTCCTTCCCCCTGTAGCCTATCCGTCGTAACGGTACCTCCTCCTTTCCACTGTAGCCTATCCGTCGTAACGTTACCTCCTCCTTCCCACTGTAGCCTATCCTTCGTAACGGTACCTTTTCCTTTCCACTTTAGCCTATCCTTCGTAACGGTACCTTCTCCTTTCCACTGTAGCCTATCCTTCGTAACGGTACCTCCTCCTTTCCACTGTAGCCTATCCTTCGTAACGGTACCCCCTCCTTTCCACTGTAGCCTATCCGTTGTAACGTACCCCCTCCTTTCCACTGTCGCCTATCCGTCGTAACATCCCCCCTCCTTTCCACTGTAGCCTATCCTTCGTACCCCATCCTTTCCACTGTAGCCTATCCTTCGAACCCCCTCCTTTCCACTGTAGCCTATCCGTCGTAACGTTACCTCCTCCTTCCCTCTGTAGCCTATCCGTCGTAACATCCCCCCTCCTTTCCACTGTAGCCTATCCTTCGTAACCGCAACCCCTCCTTTCCACTGTAGCCTATTCTTCGTAATGGTACGTTTTCCCTTCCACTGTAGCCTATCCGTTGTAACGGTACCTTCTCCTTTCCACTTTAGCCTGTCCTTCGTAACGGTACCTTCTCCTTTCCACTGTAGCCTATCCGTTGTAACGTACCCCCTCCTTTCCACTGTCGCCTATCCGTCGTAACATCCCCCCTCCTTTTCACTGTAGTCTATCCGACGTAACGGTCCCTCCTCCTTTCCACTGTAGCCTATCCGTCGTAACGGTACCTTCTCCTTTCCACTGTAGTCTATCCGTCGTAACGTACCCCCTCCTTTCCATTGTAGACTATCCATCGTAACGTAACCCCTCCTTTCCACTTGTAGTCTATCCGTCGTAACCGCAACCCCTACTTTCCCCTGTAGCCTATCCATCGTAACGTACCCCCTCTTTTCCACTGTAGTCTATCCGTTGTAACCGCACCCATTCCTTTCCACTGTAGCCTATCCGTCGTAACGTTACATCCTCCTTCCCACTGTAGCCTATCCTTCGTAACGGTACCTCCTCCTTTCCACTGTAGCCTATCCTTCGTAACCGCAACCCCTCCTTTCCACTGTAGCCTATTCTTCGTAATGGTACGTTTTCCCTTCCACTGTAGCCTATCCGTTGTAACGGTACCTCCTCCTTTCCACTGTAGCCTATCCTTCGTACCCCATCCTTTCCACTGTAGCCTATCCTTCGACCCCCCTCCTTTCCACTGTAGCCTATCCGTCGAAACATCCCCCTCCTTTTCACTGTAGCCTATCCGTCGTAACCGCAACATCTCCTTTCCCCTGTAGTCTATCCGACGTAACGGTACCCCCTCCTTTCCACTGTATCCTATCCGTCGTAACGGTACCTTCTCCTTTCCACTGTAGCCTATCCGTTGTAACGTTACCTCCTCCTTCCCACTGTAGCCTATCCTTCGTAACGGTACCTCCTCCTTTCCACTGTAGCCTATCCTTCGTAACCGCAACCCCTCCTTTCCACTGTAGCCTATTCTTCGTAATGGTACGTTTTCCCTTCCACTGTAGTCTATCCATCCTCCTTTTCACTGTAGCCTATCCGTCGTAACCGCAACATCTCCTTTCCCCTGTAGTCTATCCGACGTAACGGTACCCCCTCCTTTCCCCTGTAGCCTATCCGTCGTAACATCCCCCCTCCTTTTCACTGTAGCCTATCCGTCGTAACCGCAACATCTCCTTTCCACTGTAGTCTATCCGACGTAACGGTACCTCCTCCTTTCCACTGTAGCCTATCCGTCGAAACATCCCCCCTCCTTTTCACTGTAGCCTATCCGTCGTAACGTACCCCCTCCTTTCCACTGTAGACTATCCATCGTAACGTACCCCCTCCTTTCCACTGTACCCTATCCGTTGTAACGTACCCCCTCCTTTCCACTGTAGCCTATCCGTCGTAACATAACCCCCCCCCCCCTTCCATTTTAGCTTATCCTTCGTTAACGCAACCCCTCCTTTCCACTTTAGCCTATCCTTCGTAACGGTACCCCCTCCTTCCCACTGGAGCATATCCTTCGTAACGGTACCTTCTCCTTTCCACTTTAGCCTGTCATACGTAACAGCAACCCCTCCTTTCCACAGTAGCATATCCTTCGTAACCGCAACCCCTCCTTTCCACTGTAGCCTATCCATCGTAACGGTACATTCTCCCTTCCACAGTAGCTTATCCATCGTAACGGTACCCCCTCCTTTCCACTGTAGCCTATCCTTCGTACCCCATCCTTTCCACTGTAGCCTATCCTTCGAACCCCCTCCTTTCCACTGTAGCCTATCCGTCGTAACGGTACCTTCTCCTTTCCACTGTAGTCTATCCGTCGTAACGTACCCCCTCCTTTCCACTGTAGCCTATCCATTGTAACGTACCCCTTCCTTTCCACTGTATTCTATCCGTCGTAACGGTACCTTCTCCTTTCCACTGTAGCCTATCCGTTGTAACGGTACCTTCTCCTTTCCACTTTAGCCTATCCTTCGTAACGATACCCCCTCCTTTCCACTGTAGCCTATAAATCGTAACGTACCCCATCCTTTCCACTGTAGCCTATCCATCGTAACATCCCCCCTTCTTTTCACTGTAGCCTATCCGTCGTAACCGCAGCCCCTCCTTTCCACTGTAGCCTATCCATCGTAACGGTACCTTCTCCTTTCCACTGTAGTCTATTCATCGTAACATAACCCCCCCCCCCCTCCATTTTAGCCTATCCTTCGTTACCGCAACCCCTCCTTTCCACTGTAGCCTATCCATCGTAACGGTACCTCCTCCTTTCCACTGTAGCCTATCCTTCGTAATGGTACGTTTTCCCTTCCACAGTAGTCTATCCATCGTAACGTACCCCCTCCTTTCCACTGTAGCCTATCCTTCGTAACCGCAACCCCTCCTTTCCACTGTAGCCTATTCTTCGTAATGGTACGTTTTCCCTTCCACTGTAGCCTATCCGTTGTAACGGTACCTCCTCCTTTCCACTGTAGCCTATCCATCGTAACGGTGCCTCCTCCTTTCCACTGTAGCCTATCCATTGTAACGTAACCCCTCCTTTCCACTGTAGCCTATCCTTCGTAACGGTACCTCCTTCTTTCCACTGTAGCCTATCCATCGTAATGTACCCCCTCCTTTCCACTGTAGCCTATCCTTCGTAATGGTACGTTTTCCCTTCCACTGTAGCCTATCCGTCGTTACGGTACCTTCTCCTTTCCACTGTAGCCTATCCTTCGTAACGGTACCTCCTCCTTTCCACTGTAGCCTATCCTTCGTAACGGTACCCCCTCCTTTCCACTGTAGCCTATCCTTCGTACCCATCCTTTCCACTGAAGTCTATCCGTCGTAACGGTACCTTCTCCCTTCCACTGTAGCCTATCCGTTGTAACGGTACCTCCTCCTTTCCACTGTAGCCTATCCATCGTAACGGTGCCTCCTCCTTTCCACTGTAGCCTATCCATTGTAACGTAACCCCTCCTTTCCACTGTAGCCTATCCTTCGTAACGGTACATCCTCCTTTCCACTGTAGCCTATCCGTTGTAACGGTACCTCCTCCTTTCCATGTTGGACGTTTTCCTATTGTATGTTTATGATCAAGGGAACCGCCTGATAATACTTCCTACTTCACTGTTTTCCAGATGTCCATATTAACATATCTGTCGGATTGTTTTTCAATTTAAAGAAAATGATTTAATATTTTCTATAAGATATACAAATATGATTTTATACCATTTACTTCAAACAATGACATGAGCTAATAAAATTATCTTTACTTTATCAGGGAAGATGCTGAGAACGATTCAGTTCCCAGTCAAAGGTATCACATCGTGCTGTTTTGGTGGGGAAAACATGGACGAGATGTATGTTACGAGCGCATTTAGGGAACAGTTTGGGGACGAGACTGGTGGAGCAACCCCTCCAGGTTCCGTTTTCAGAGTAACCGGCCTCGGGGTGAGGGGACGCCCAGACTACGTGTATCAAGATACTCACTGACCTGTCCCGGATCTCAGGCCACTCACCTTTTTGTTCTAAGAAGCTATTCACGTGATGCTCTGTGTATCTGTCAATGCTTATGATTATAAAAGAACGATTCACACATTGATATTTTTATATTATATTTTTGTCTGGCGTATAATTCTGACATTAAGGCAAAGGGTATAACTGCATCAGTTGTATTCATGAAGAAGAGTTCCGCTCAAAAATGTTTTGACTTATAGTATCCGCCCCTTCTATACAGAAGATAAGCGACAGAGGGAGTGTTTTCCTTGTCAACATTTCCATGTACTTTACGGTCAATAAATTGGAACCACATTTTGATGCTGTGCTTGCACATAATTCAACAGGGATCTAAGAATTTGTTACAGCTATATTTTAGGATTAACTTGAATATATTCTTCATGCTATGGAGATATAACACACACAAAAACCGGAGTGTACTCTAAATATACCGCGAAGCGAAGCGCTTTCTGATGAGAGTACACTCTTGTGTTTTGTGTTATAGCACCATAACATAAAAAAATATTTGCAAGTTAATCCTTATGATTTAATCTACTAAACACAATCCCTGTGGAAATCCACTTTTATTGATGGACTTTTTTCTCTTAGAAATTATTACACCGCTGTATCAGCCAAGCAAAAGCGACGTTACAAACCGCGACGTCATTTTTTTTTTTTTACGTTATAGGCTTATAACATAAAACTTTTAAGCCAATGAAAATGCTTGTTACAAGCAAAGTTATATTATTTAAACATGACGTTATATATCGATGTACATCATCACTGGGGATGGCATTTTTACCTAAAATTGATCGAAACCCATAAAACGTGTAAAAACACCTTAGTTTAGATCCAAATATAGCTCTAACAAATGCCCAGGTCCTTGTGCATTGTTCAAGTATGACAGCACTGGTTAGGTGTTGGTTATTTTTCACATTCCAGTTTCAAACACATGCATGGCAACATGTGATATTTTTTCAAACATTTCTTTTGAAAAGGATATAAACAGATAGTTCACAGTAGTTACAATGGTTATAATATAATTTTACTTGCTGGTACCCTTTCCCATAAACAGACGGCACCCTCTCCCATAAACAGACGGCACCCTCTCCCATAAACAGACGGTACCCTCTCCCATAAACAGACGGTACCCTCTCCCATATACAGACGGTACCCTCTCCCATAAACAGACGGCCCCCTCTCCCATAAACAGACGGTATCCTCTCCCATAAACAGACGGTACCCTCTCCCATAAACAGACGGTACCGTCTCCCATAAACAGACGGCACCCTCTCCCATAACCAGACGGTATCCTCTCCCATAAACAGACGGCACCCTCTCCCATAAACAGACGGTACTCTCTCCCATATACAGACGGTACCCTCTCCCATAAACAGACGGTACCCTCTCCCATAAACAGACGGTACCCTCTCCCATAAACAGACGGTACCCTCTCCCATAAACAGACGGCACCCTCTCCGATAAAAAGACGGTACTCTCTCCCATATACAGACGGTATCCTCTCCCATAAACAGACGGTACCCTCTCCCATAAACAGACGGTACCCTCTCCCATAAACAGACGGTACCCTCTCCCATAAACAGACGGCACCCTCTCCCATAAACAGACGGTATCCTCTCCCATTAACAGACGGTACCCTCTCTCATAAACAGACGGTACCCTCTCACATAAACAGACGGTACCCTCTCATATAAACAGACGGTACCCTCACCCATAAAAAGACGGTACCCTCTCCCATAAACAGGCGGTACCCTCTCATATAACCAGGCGGTACCCTCTCCCATAAACAGACGGTATCCTCTCCCATAAACAGACGGTACCCTCTCCCATAAACAGACGTCACCCTCCCCATAAACAGACGGCACCCTCTCCCATAAACAGACGGTACCCTCTCTCATAAACAGACGGTACCCTCTCACATAAACAGACGGTACCCTCTCATATAAACAGACGGTACCCTCACCCATAAAGAGACGGTACCCTCTCCCATAAACAGGCGGTACCCTCTCCCATAAACAGACGGTACCCGGTACCCTCTCCCATAAACAGACGGTACCCTCTCATATAAACAGACGGTACCCTCTCCCATAAACAGACGGTACCCTCTCATATAAACAGACGGTACCCTCTCCCATAAAAAGACGGTACCCTCTCCCATAAACAGACGGTACCCTCTCATATAAACAGACGGTACCCTCTCCCATAAAAAGACGGTACCCTCTCCCATAAACAGGCGGTACCCTCTCATATAACCAGGCGGTCCCCTCTCCCATAAACAGACGGTATCCTCTCCCATATGCAGACGGCACCCTCTCCAATATACAGACGGTACCCTCTCCAATAAACAGACGGCACCCTCTCCCATAAACAGACGGCACCCTCTGCCATAAACAGACGGTACCCTATCCCATAAACAGATGGTACCCTCTCCCATAAACAGACGGTACCCTCTCCAATAAACAGACGTCACCCTCTCTTATAAACAGACGGTATCCTCTCCCATAAACAAACGGTTCCCTCTCCCATATACAGACGGTACCCTCTCCCATAAACAGACGGTATCCTCTCCCATATACAGACGGTACCCTCTCCCATAAACAGACGGCCCCCTCTCCCATAAACAGACGGTACCCTCTCCCATAAACAGATGGTACCCTCTCCCATAAACAGACGGTATCCTCTCCCATATACAGACGGTACCCTCTCCCATAAACAGCCGGCACCCTCTCCCATAAACAGACGGTACCCTCTCCCATATACAGACGGTACCCTCTCCCATAAACAGACGGCCCCCTCTCCCATAAACAGACGGTATCCTCTCCCATACACAGACGGCACCCTCTCCCATAAACAGACGGTACCCTCTCTCATAAACAGACGGTACTCTCTCCCATAAACGGACGGCACCCTCTCCCATAAACAGACAGTACCCTCTTCAATAAACAGACTGTACCCTCTCCCATAAACAGACTGCACCCTCTCCCATAAACAGACGGTACCCTATCCCATAAACAGACGGTACCCTCTCCCATAAACAGACGGCACCCTCTCCCATAAACAGACGGTATCCTCTCCCATTAACAGACGGTACCCTCTCTCATAAACAGACGGTACCCTCTCACATAAACAGACGGTACCCTCTCATATAAACAGACGGTACCCTCACCCATAAAAAGACGGTACCCTCTCCCATAAACAGGCGGTACCCTCTCATATAACCAGGCGGTACCCTCTCCCATAAACAGACGGTATCCTCTCCCATATACAGACGGTATCCTCTCCCATATACAGACGGTACCCTCTCCAATAAACAGACAGCACCCTCTCCCATAAACAGACGGCACCCTCTCCCATAAACAGACGGCACCCTCTACCATAAACAGACGGTACCCTATCCCATAAACAGACGTCACCCTCTCCCATAAACAGACGGCACCCTCTCCCATAAACAGACGGCATCCTCTGCCATAAACAGACGGTACCCTCTCCCATAAACAGACGGTATCCTCTCCCATATACAGACGGCACCCTCTCCAATATACAGACGGTACCCTCTCCAATAAACAGACGGCACCCTCTCCCATAAACAGACGGCACCCTCTCCCATAAACAGACGGCACCCTCTCCCATAAACAGACGGTACCCTCTCCCATAAACAGACGGTACCCTCTCCCATAAACAGACGGTACCCTCTCCCATAAACAGACGGTACCCTCTCCCATAAACAGACGGTACCCTCTCCCATAAACAGACGGTACCCTCTCCCATAAACAGACGGTACCCTCTCCCATAAACAGACGGTACCCTCTCCCATAAACAGACGGTACCCTCTCCCATAAACAGACGGTACCCTCTCCCATAAACAGACGGTACCCTCTCCCATAAACAGACGGTACCCTCTCCCATAAACAGACGGTACCCTCTCCCATAAACAGACGGTACCCTCTCCCATAAACAGACGGTACCCTCTCCCATAAACAGACGGTACCCTCTCCCATAAACAGACGGTACCCTCTCCCATAAACAGACGGTACCCTCTCCCATAAACAGACGGTACCCTCTCCCATAAACAGACGGTACCCTCTCCCATAAACAGACGGTACCCTCTCCCATAAACAGACGGTACCCTCTCCCATAAACAGACGGTACCCTCTCCCATAAACAGACGGTACCCTCTCCCATAAACAGACGGTACCCTCTCCCATAAACAGACGGTACCCTCTCCCATAAACAGACGGTACCCTCTCCCATAAACAGACGGTACCCTCTCCCATAAACAGACGGTACCCTCTCCCATAAACAGACGGTACCCTCTCCCATAAACAGACGGTACCCTCTCCCATAAACAGACGGTACCCTCTCCCATAAACAGACGGTACCCTCTCCCATAAACAGACGGTACCCTCTCCCATAAACAGACGGTATCCTCTCCCATAAACAGACGGTACCCTCTCCCATAAACAGACGGTACCCTCTCCCATAAACAGACGGTACCCTCTCCCATAAACAGACGGTATCCTCTCCCATAAACAGACGGTACCCTCTCCCATAAACAGACGGTACCCTCTCCCATAAACAGACGGTACCCTCTCCCATAAACAGACGGTACCCTCTCCCATAAACAGACGGTACCCTCTCCCATAAACAGACGGTACCCTCTCCCATAAACAGACGGTACCCTCTCCCATAAACAGACGGTACCCTCTCCCATAAACAGACGGTACCCTCTCCCATAAACAGACGGTACCCTCTCCCATAAACAGACGGTACCCTCTCCCATAAACAGACGGTACCCTCTCCCATAAACAGACGGTACCCTCTCCCATAAACAGACGGTACCCTCTCCCATAAACAGACGGTACCCTCTCCCATAAACAGACGGTACCCTCTCCCATAAACAGACGGTACCCTCTCCCATAAACAGACGGTACCCTCTCCCATAAACAGACGGTACCCTCTCCCATAAACAGACGGTACCCTCTCCCATAAACAGACGGTACCCTCTCCCATAAACAGACGGTACCCTCTCCCATAAACAGACGGTATCCTCTCCCATAAACAGACGGTACCCTCTCCCATATACAGACGGTACCCTCTCCCATAAACAGACGGCACCCTCTCCAATAAACAGACGGTATCCTCTCCCATATACAGACGGTACCCTCTCCCATAAACAGACGGTACCCTCTCCCCTAAACAGACGGTATCCTCTCCCATAAACAGACGGTACCCTCTCCCATAAACAGACGGTACCCTCTCATATAAACAGATGGTACCCTCACCCATAAAAAGACGGTACCCTCTCCCATAAACAGGCGGTACCCTCTCATATAAACAGGCGGTACACTCTCATATAAACAGGCGGTACCCTCTCCCATAAACAGACGGTATCCTCTCCCATATACAGACGGCATCCTCTCCCATATACAGACGGTACCCTCTCCCATAAACAGACGGCACCCTTTACCATAAACAGACGGTACCCTATCCCATAAACAGGCGGTACCCTCTCCCATAAACAGACGGCACCCTCTCCCATAAACAGACGGTATCCTCTCCCATAAACAGACGCTACCTTCTCCCATAAACAGACGGCACCCTCTCCCATAAACAGACAGTACCCTCTTCAATAAACAGCCTGTACCCTCTCCCATAAACAGACTGCACCCTCTCCCATAAACAGACGGTACCCTATCCCATAAACAGACGGTACCCTCTCCCATAAACAGGCGGTATCCTCTCCCATATACAGACGGTACCCTCTCCCATAAACAGGCGGTATCCTCTCCCATATACAGACGGCACCCTCTCCCATAAACAGTCGGTACCCTCTCATATAAACAGACGGTACCCTCTCCCATAAACAGGCGGTATCCTCTCCCATAAACAGACGCTACCTTCTCCCATAAACAGACGGCACCCTCTCCCATAAACAGGCGGTACCCTCTCATATAAACAGGCGGAACCCTCTCCCATAAACAGACGGTATCCTCTCCCATATACAGACGGTACCCTCTCCCATAAACAGAGGGCACCCTCTACCATAAACAGACTGTACCCCGTCCCATAAACAGACTGCACCCTCTCCCATAAACAGACGGCACCCTCTCCCATAAACAGAGGGCACCCTCTACCATAAACAGACGGTACCCTATCCCATAAACAGGCGGTTTCCTCTCCCATTTACAGACGGTACCCTCTCCCATAAACAGACTGTACCCTATCCCATAAACAGACGGCACCCTCTCCCATAAACAGACGGTACCCTCTCCCATAAACCGACTGTACCCTATCCCATAAACAGACGGTATCCTCTCCCATATACAGACGGTACCCTCTCCAATAAACAGACTGTACCCTCTCCCATAAACCGACGGCGCCCTCTCCCATAAACAGACGGCATCCTCTGCCATAAACAGACGGTAACCTCTCCCATATACAGACGGTACCCTCTCCCATAAACAGACGGTACCCTCTCCCATAAACAGACGGCACCCTCTCCCATAAACAGACGGTACCCTATCCCATAAACAGGCGGTTTCCTCTCCCATTTACAGACGGTACCCTCTCCCATAAACAGACTGTACCCTATCCCATAAACAGACGGCACCCTCTCCCATAAACAGACGGTATCCTCTCCCATAAACAGACGGTACCCTCTCCGGTAAACAGGCGGTACCCTCTCCCATAAAAAGACGGCACCCTCTCCCATAAACAGACGGCACCCTCCCCCATAAACAGACGGTACCCTATCCCATAAACAGGCGGTTTCCTCTCCCATTTACAGACGGTACCCTCTCCCATAAACAGACTGTACCCTATCCCATAAACAGACGGCACCCCCTCCCATAAACAGACGGTACCCTATCCCATAAACAGGCGGTTTCCTCTCCCATTTACAGACGGTACCCTCTCCCATAAACAGACTGTACCCTATCCCATAAACAGACGGCACCCTCTCCCATAAACAGACGGTCCCCTCTCCCATAAACAGACGGTAGCCTCTCCCATAAACAGACGGTATCCTCTCCCATAAACAGACGGGACCCTCTCCCATAAACAGGCGGTACCCTCTCCCATAAACAGGCGGCACCCTCTCCCATAAACAGACGGTACCCTCTCCCATAAACAGGCGGCACCCTCTCCCATATACAGACGATACCCTCTCCCATATACAGACGGTACCCTCTCCCATAAAAAGACGGTATCCTCTCCCATAACCAGACGGTACCCTCTCCCATAAACAGACGGTATCCTCTCCCATAAACAGACGGTACCCTCTCCCATAAACAGACGGCACCCTCTCCCATATACAGAAGATACCCTCTCCCATATACAGACGGTACCCTCTCCCATAAACAGGCGGTTCCCTCTCCCATAAACAGACGGTACCCTCTCCCATAAACAGACGGTACCCGGTGCGCTCTCCCATAAACAGGCGGTACCCTCTCCCATAAAAAGACATGTTTATACGCAATTTGCACAAGAGTTACTGCCCTTGCCACGGTTTCGACGTCTGTAAGATTTTGATCGATACAGTCTGAGTCATTTTCGTCCAATGAGATCATATTGCGTTTCACAAAGGTAATCAATGGGGTTTTCTGCTCAACAGAACGAATCTCGTGAAAAAAATCGGATTAAAAAAATATAAATCGCATTTGTGGTTTTAAAATAAACATTTAAATTCCCTAGAAGAGATTTAACTTATTGCATAAGAAACAAATTTAAATCTATTGTAAACTTTAATCTTTGATTACTAATATAGCCTCTGTGATCCAGATTATGACTTTCGGCGGTTGTTGCTGGAAACAAAACAGATTATATTATTGCGTACAAAATGTACCCGACTAAATCCTCATTCACGGATCTCCTTTCTGGTTCGCTGTTTTACCAGTCGGCCGATCAATTATTTTATCCAACTCTGCCTTCTTCATCAATTCCTTTCTCCTTAGATTTTAACTTATGGCCAAGTACCTATCAGACATTCGTTCTGTGTATGGTTGATATCATTATATATCCTACGACCGTCAGTTTTGTTGATACTAGTCGATACTATGTTTGATGTTATAAATATAAAATACATAAATAAACAGATAAGATACTAACCCTCATATTTGTCAGATGATTGTATTTTCTGTTTATAGGTAAATATTGAAATATCTGCTAAACTTAACTCTTTCAATGTGTTTCCTTGGATATTTTTGTTTACTTTTAAATTACTTATTAAATAAAAATCCATAAATCGTCGGATGTGTATTGAAACAAGATATCTGGAATGTATTGAACCATCGCATATCCCTGGGGTGACGATGTGGTTCCACATTAGATGATATTTAAATCAAATTTTACGTACGAACAAACGAGGTGTGTGTCCCCACTGAGCCCTAGTTTTACATTTACGGGCGTGACTAATGTAAACAGCTATATACACGTTCATGTAATAATTACTACATTATTTCACAACTGTTGAGCTTTTTCTATAGAATCATATGCAACTATATTGTAAACGCATTGCCCCGGCCCGACTTGGCCTAACTGTGTACAATACAAGCCGGCTTGTGTAGCTGAACACACACTATTACTGACTAAGCTTACAGTAAACTCTGTCCTTTTCTGCCAGAAAGTCAACATTATTGGTAGGGTAGCTTTATATTTTAAAAAAGGGATGTGGATAGGCTGTACAAATAACGCCGGTTTCCCACGGCAGGTCTCAAAGGGATTCAATACCCGTCCTGTACCTCCGCGGCGTGTAATCTTCCCAAATCTCCGGTCTTTCGTTTCAAATTTGAGAATGTCAAGGCTTGCTGCTCCACTGGGCGGGATGTGCATTTCAAAGCCAGTATTACGTAAGATCATGTCATTTAATTATTGGCAAAATGAACAGCGGGTATATTTTTCATCAATAATTCACTAGGTAGTATTCTGAGAAATGTTCTATGTGTGGTATATACGTATTATTCGACATAAACACACCGGTTTCCTTTTTCACTCATTAACATTATTGAGGACTTTCCTTTTGTTTGTCGATCTCCATATCATCAGTATCCTTGTTCTGCATGAAAACATTTTACGAATATAACTTAGTCATTTAAGATTTTATTATCAATGTATGCCTAATAATAAAACCTTAACTTCTCTTACGCCACGTGAACTAAGACATAACGTTATTGCTGGGAAAGTCAATGTATTAGTGTATATAGACAAGGAGCTATAGGTAACGATAATTGCTCGTCGATATAAGCAGCTAAAACTAGCTTCAGGACGGAATTAATAAAAAAAAATATGTACGTATCTTGATACTCATTACATTAACAGCATACATCCGAGGTCAGAGTCGTGTCTTAGAATAATACCATCTTATATGGGCCCCACACGAATGTACTCTATCAATTTGCCGAACACGCTTTTGCTCGTACAAACGTTTGTTATCATGTGATTAAAAATGTTGCATCGAAATGATTTCTACTTTTTGTCAGGCAGACCGGACAATGACATTATCATGCCATAGGCGGGCGGTATATTACTAGGGCGTTGTTTCTTGTTGGAATATTCATTAGTATTGACAAATGACCGTTGTTTATCGCATACGTGGTAGAATTAAGAAATAATCAACATATTATGTGCATGAACTAAGAGGGAATATTAACATTATAAATGGTTCGAGAATTTTACCCAACATTTTGATTTTCGAGTTATATTTTCCACACAAACAGGTGTTGATTATATCTATTCTGCCACGTCCAATTTTACAAAACAATGTTTGCCCGACTAAGAAAGTGGCGTGACTGAGATAAACATGTTTAACATATTGATCTGTGCGTGTAAACGCTTGTTACATATCAGATTAATGTGTTTCAAAGACCAGTTGATAATGTATACGGGGGTCGATTTTCTGACAGCGTTGCACATGCACTTGGCTCATGCGTGGTCTGTTGTCCAATTATACAAAAAAAATGTCTAAGGAAAAAAATGTGCATCGCCGAAAACATACTATATGCAGCGTAAGCAAAAATAAGAAATTCGTGAGAGTTGATTTGTATATTTTATATTTCATTTTTATCTCATAAAGTGGACGGAACATATAGATGCTATACGTTATAAGAGTCCCCATATACAATTTGTTTGTCTTGTTTAAGTGCGGTACATCGTGTCGCCACCAATGGTGTCCGCCAAAAGGAGTTAGCACAAAGTATGAACACACATGGCACTGAAGAGTTTTTTGAGTAAATAAACCAATCACTGGGTGTATGAGTCACGTGACAGCATTTCTACCAAGCAAGCGATTGGTTACAAAGTATCGTGCTGGTAGTGAACGTCTCCGGATATTATAAAAGTTCCTGGAAAACAAATTCGCAGGTTTTCGTAAATAACGAAATAGCACTGAGTAGTAACATGGAAACGCGTATGTGTTTTGAGTCGACAGTTCACATAATTATACCAATGTCTCGAGGTATGACGTAGGCGACTCGTCGCTGTGTAGGGAGCTAAGTCCCGTGTCAGAGTTCGAGTCGTGATCCTCTGACTTCCGGTAGCTTTGTCGCTCGTCTGAACGATAACCAGAGAACGCTATTTGTTTGTCCATATAACATGTCCTGGCGGACTTGTACACGTAAATCTCCGACTTAATCCTCTCACTGATCAGTTCGTCACACTTGTATGTTGTATGACCTGCCGGAAGTCGAGTATACTCGCGGCAGGAATTTTCTGGAAGTCGTGAATGTTTCCGGCAAGAATATTTAGCTAATGTGTTAGTGGAGTTTTGAGAGCCCTGTCCAAAGTGTGAGTCAGTGGACGTATTGTCGGTGTCTCCCGAGAAGGAGTCGTCGAGGTCACTCGTATTCGGCTGTTTCCGGTTAGATTCGCAGCCCGAGTCGAAGCTGTCGCCCTTTCCAGTATCGCGCGTGTCCGCTGACGTGTCGTGATCACACGAGTGCGACATGCCGATGATGGCGTCGAGGTTAACGTACTCAGCCTCCTCGTGATACTCTTTCCTCATTGGAGTACTGTGATTCTCTGGCACAACACTCAAATAGTCGGAGGCAGCATCCTCCACGCTGTATATGTGGTTGACGTCACTTTTGTGCATGACGTCAGACCTATCCAGAGCCTCAAGTTCCCGCTGAAGTTGTGAGATAGTGGTTAATTTCGTGGTCAGTGACTGATCACACTGCTCAATGTCATTGGCGATTTCCGCGGCCTGGTATTTCTGCATCATATTAGCGGACACCATACGATTGAGTTCAGCATGCAGTGTAGCTAGTTCTACTTCTAAATTCCCTCCGTTTTTTGCTGCCTCAATGTTTTCGTAGAACGCTTCATTATGCGTACTTTCCTGGATTTGGAGCGATAAATCTTCTATTTTTGAGGTTTCTTTCTGAATACGACTCTCCAAATTAATCACTCGCTCACAAAACTGAATGTACATTTCTAAGTTATCCGGGTCTATATTTCTCATGAATTCGTCCATACTATCCTCTAGACCATTCTCCAAGTATGCGTTTTGGAGGTAATCCTGGCCATTTTCGGCCATGCGCGTGTAATGCATGTCCGTTTCTATGCCGTCGATTCGTGTGTCCGTGTCTTTGATAGAGTAGTGAATATCGTGAAGTTTCCGTTCCTGAGTAATGACAAGTTTGGCGAGGTTCTCCATGGTTTTCAGTCGGTCGTTTGTAGACTGGTATTTGTCCTCATTGTCCGACTTTGACCTTGAACTACGTTCGGTCCTCGTTTTATGACGACGACGATGATGATGACGACGGCGATGATGAAAAAACTCTGCATAGTCCTCCGACTCCATGTTATGTTTCATTGTTAACTGTACATTGTACTGTTCCGCGCCCCACGCGCGCCAGATCTTAATGATTTTTGTTCTCCCCTGTAGGGGACGCTCCACGTCCCGCCATCGTTCATACATGGTGTAATTGTCTGTAGAGTCATGGTCGTGTTTCCCTTCCTGATACAGAAGTGCGTATATAACGTCATCACATGTTGTCCTCTTTGTCAGTCCCGTAACCCATTTCTGCGTACCTTCCACCCAGACAGGAATCTCAATTGCTTCTGGTGCTTCCATCTACAATACACAAATATATACATATATAGATATATGTATCAAAGAGGCAATATGCTAACTGCACTGCAATATCGTAAAAAATGAAACAAAGAGTAAACACGAGAGCAACGCCAAAAAGGCTAAAATATGATACTAAAAAGGTATATGGTTGATTTCGTAATTATTTCGTAAATATGTATCACAATTTCATATGGTATATACCCTTAAATTTTCTATCTGAGAATATATTGACATCTTGATCCACCTTTTGATTATGAAGAGCGTCTCTATGGCGTAATTATTACGCAAGACCTTCGTTGCACTGACAGCAATATTAGCATACCTACTGCCATATTTAGATTCTACCGTCATAACGCATACCTCCAAGCAGTCAAATAGGTCAACGTCAGGGCGATACATGGGTATAATTAACACTTACCTAAATGACTTTTGGAGTTTGTAAACATTTATGAATAAACGTGGGCTTAGTTTGATATCAGATTACGGCTATTTAAATGAAGGGGACAGGTTTTCATTCAGGTATGTCAGGACCACATTCTCAAACTGATAACAATATCTGTCCCGGAGTTCGCTTGTGTCACGTCAGGGAAAACCATATCATGTAGGGCCAATCGGATCATAATACACGTCAGTGGAACCCATGTCACCACAGGTTGTTCGGAACATATTGCATGTACAGACTTCTTCCAAACAATGTAACTTTTGATCATGCGAATACATTTTGAACACATGAATACCCATACTCAAATAAAAAACCATGAATATCTGAGTCCATTAAGAATATTGTTCCAGACACAAATGAAAATCTGTTTCGGCACTTCAAAAATTAAAGCTGCTGATCGTGTGAGGCAATTTGGAACAAACATAGATGAAAAACGTCCCTCACACGAGTCCATTCGGAACACGGGCAGTTGTATCACAGTTAAGTGAAACCTGTTCTTGATATCTTATTAAAGAAACATGTTTCCTTCATCGAATAAGAAGGATAAGGCACAATTTTCGTAAATAGATTATGAAATCAACAATAATGATCTTACGACGTCATTGGAAAACCACAATGTCGGGAGTCCTTCCGAAACGTACGAAACGACTACAGTGATACCAGAGTGTATTCGGAGCACACTGCTCCAGTATAGTAAGATTACTGGATGGAGTCCGTGCAGAACGTACTGAATGTGTCGTTTAAACTTCGAGTAATGCTATATTCCATTTGTATAGTGGACTTTGACGACAGCTGTAGCTACTGTTGTTGTAGTAATCCGGTGAAATGAGTGTCGTATTCGAGGGATAAAGATGTTACTGACATTTGACCGTGAACTGTGTTCGAATTCAAACTTCATTTTGGCATTTTACTAAATAAAAAAATGAAATAAATATTTTTTTAATTCCTAGGTCGGTTTTAAATACCCATGCAGTGTACAGCTGTGCCTTTTTTTATTCTCTGTTCTGCAAACTAAATATTTAATATGTACGTATACGCTACACTTACAAAAACCAATTCTGAATTATTTACATAGGACGCCACAGAATATACCTAGTATATCATCAAAGTGGAAACATCTGAAAATTACGTTCATTGGATATGCTACCTGCCCTGACTTACAATGAGTTTATATCAAGTTTCAAGTCTGTAAAGATTTGACTGTTCTGGTGTTTCTTATACCTATATCACAGGAAAATTAAACATATCATTTAAGTTTAAGTTATAAATATTGCCATTGGCGTCAATTTATGTGAACATCAGAGCCTCCTTAGTCCGGACATGTTCGTTTCTGTGTACATCAGAGCCTCCTTAGTCCGGACTTGTTCGTATCTGTGTACATCAGAGCCTCCTTAGTCCGGACATGTTAGTTTCTGTGTACATCAGAGCCTCCTTAGTCCGGACATGTTCGTTTCTGTGTACATTAGAGCCTCATTAGTCCGGACATGTTCGTTTCTGTGTACATTAGAGCCTCATTAGTCCGGACATGTTCGTTTCTGTGTACATCAGAGCCTCATTCGTCCGGACATGTTCGTTTCTCTGTGTACATTAGAGCCTCATTAGTCCGGACATGTTCGTTTCTCTGTGTACATTAGAGCCTCATTAGTCCGGACATGTTCGTTTCTCTGTACATCAGAGCCTCATTCGTCCGGACATGTTCGTTTCTGTGTACATTAGAGCCTCATTAGTCCGGACATGTTCGTTTCTCTGTACATTAGAACCTGATTACGGGCACTTTCCTCCCCTTATAACCCTTCAGTATATCGTCTACCTAGGTCTCTATACTACAACACACAGGGCTTACATGTACCCACGGTGTAAAATATCTTCAAAAATTCAATCAAAATTACAAGAAATACGATATAAGATATCAATGATTATATTTCAAACACACTGCTTCTAAAGTTACGAAATAGATGATAACGTTATATATAGTTTGGGCGTAGGCCAAGTTATTTCATTTACATAACGTGGCCTGGACCCTCACTGAATATTAGGTAGGACTATATCCACGACGTAAGTGTATGTTTCATTACCTTACAATGTCTTTCATATTGGGTTAGCTGCTCAACCCAGTGACTCTCGAGGTCATCTGATCATAAAACACGAATACAGACGCATACAAAACATAACTCGTAGCAAGTCTTACGATAAACTATCAATGAAAGATCGAGTGGTAGAATGGTTTGCCCAGACAGCAGCACAGAGTTAGGGTATAATAGGTCATTAATGTTTTAACTCCAGCCATACACGTCCTCGAAGCGTCAAGTCCTATCTTACCACTACAAAGTTAAACGTGTGACATGCTTTGATGGGTAAATCGACTTACGCCGGGGCAATATGTTATACCGACACAATAGTAGCTAGATATAGCCGAGTTCGGTCAGGACGCGTCGATTCATCAGTTCTTAACACAGGAAATGACGTAAAACCATCAAATGATTTTGAGAAGAGGTTTAGATTGTCATTCGTGTTTGAACAAAAACTGAGTTTTCACATCTGAACAAGCGTTATTTATAGATAGTTAAGGAAATAAACTTTGCGTTATTTGACCACATATTTACCATATCCAAAGATTAAACACCCACGGTTAAATGTCTGTGACAATACACGCTAAACGTTTTACGCCAATTTCCGTGACAAATTCAAAATTGATCAAACCCGTGGCGTATGAGTCAGCGCTCGTGTATGACGATCATGCTGAAGGGGCCACAAAGAATCCTCACAGGCCCTCAAACAGTGATGTGACCACAGATTAACTTGTGATTTATTGAGACTAACGAACAAATCCCTTCACACCACCATAAATACCAGACCTCGTTTTACTATTACTTGGTTCGGGGCCGTATGTGGCCCCTGACCTGTGGTCCTGTCACTTCTGTTCGTAACTCGTGGGGGTCTAGCATTCATGTAAGTATTCGTGTTTGACAGACATATCGGGTCTATATCGGACCGAGACAATATCACAGTCGGGACTAGAATCACCAATCACTCTAAACCTGGCCTTGATCCAAGGAATCAATCACATTTCTAATCCGGAATGACATTAAATTACCTGTCCTCTCATCGAGTTCCGACATACAAATCACAGGGACCTGAGATTTTGTTACAGCTATATTTGAACCCAAAGTAAGGTGTTAAGGGTCATTTTACACGTTTTACAGATTTAGATCAAATTTCGGTAAAATTGCCAGCCCAAATGATGATAAATAATCCCTAAAATGTGTAAAATTACTCTGAAAACCATAGTTTAGGTCCAAATATTGCTGTAACAAATTCCAAGGCGCCTGTGATACAAATGTGTATATACGTATCTGGGAATTACACAACGGAAGAAGCGTCCCTTTCCTTACAAAAAATATATATATATTAAAATGAGTTGCTTTTCAAACTGTTGACACAAACAAGCTGCTACTAAATAATACATAGTGTTATTGTATTTTACTGGACAACAAACTTCTCGGTTGGAACGTCAGAATGCTAGACCGGACTTTATGGGGTCTGTTATACCACGGGGACAGTGTAATTACCGACTTCTGTAGCAGAGAGTGAGCACACATAGATAGGCATGAATATTTCACGATAGTTGTATCAGGGAGGACCTCAGCAGCACAAACCATGATCTATCGATATATTGTTTTTGGATGCATTTGAGAACCAAAATCAAAGTACCCATTGACTGAAATTCTACAACATGTATACTGAGCACGGTACACGTCATCGAGATGCGAAAATGAAAATTAACACTGCTTTCTGGAAAAGGAGTTCCTACATATTAGAGAAATGTCAGTTATTGCGTCTAAATCTATGAGGCTTTTTATCACAATTGGAGTAAGATATGTAACGTTCAACACAGTAATTTGATTCCGGCGAAGTTGTACATATCTAAAGTGGTATATCTTGGTTACACTGCAGTGGTACATATATATAGTGGTATATCTTGGTTACACTGCAGTGGTACATATATAGTGGTATATCTAGGTTACACTGCAGTGGTACATATATATAATGGTATATCTTGGTTACACTGCAGTGGTACATATATATAGTGCTATATCTAGGTTACACTGCAGTGGTACATATATATAGTGGTATATCTTGGTTACACTGCAGTGGTACAGATATATAGTGGTATATCTTGGTTACACTGCAGTGGTACATATATAGTGGTATATCTAGGTTACACTGCAGTGGTACATATATATAATGGTATATCTTGGTTACACTGCAGTGGTACAGATATATAGTGGTATATCTTGGTTACACTGCAGTGGTACAGATATATAGTGGTATATCTTGGTTACACTGCAGTGGTACAGATATATAGTGTTATATCTTGGTTACACTGCAGTGGTACATATATATAGTGCTATATCTAGGTTACACTGCAGTGGTACATATATATAATGGTATATCTTGGTTACACTGCAGTGGTACATATATAGTGGTATATCTAGGTTACACTGCAGTGGTACATATATATAATGGTATATCTTGGTTACACTTCAGTTGTACATAT